TTTTTATTTTTTTTTGAATTTCAGGAACGCCCCTCCGACCCCACGTAAAATTACTTTTCTTCAATTTAAATCGCCGCCCATGAACTCGTGATACTCTCCATAACCCTTAAATTTGGCTCCCTCACCTCGTATCCTCGCCTACCTTGTGCGAAAAGGCAGGCTTCCTGCTTCCACTATGGCTCTCACACCCGTCGACACGACGCTCAAGGTGCCTCCTCCGGACCCTGTCGAAGAACCACCCAAAGTGGCTGTAACACCCTGCGAACCACCAACAGGCCCCTATCACTTCGAGGGAGGATTTCGTCGCGTCAGTCCATACCATTACACATACAACACATTCTGCAAAGAGCGATGGAGGGGCCGGGAGCTAGTCGACATCTTTGTCTCCGAATTCCGCGATCGCCCACCAGAGTACTACGTATGTTCTTACACATGTGCTCACAATCGCGCTGGATCATTTTGACTGATTATATCTCTAGAGAGAGGCCCTAGCAGCCGGCAAAGTCACCGTTAACGGTAAACCAGCCGGACCGAACACAACCGTGAAGAACGGCGATGTCATCTCGCATACCCTGCACCGACACGAACCTCCCGTCACAAGCCAGGAGATCGGCATTATCCACGAAGATGATGGCCTTATCGTCATCGACAAACCGGCCGGTGTGCCTGTCCACTCCGCCGGCCGGTACCACTACAACACCGTCATCGAGATCCTCCGCGCCGAGCGTGGTGGTGGTTGGGTGCCCCGGCCTTGCAATCGACTGGACCGGTTAACCTCCGGCGTGATGTTCATCGCCAAAGATCCCAAAGCAGCAGAAAGGGTTGCCAGCAAGCTGAAAGAGCGATCTGTGCACAAGGAGTACGTGACTCGAGTGAAGGGCAAGTTCCCGGACGGGGTGGTGGTCTGCGACCAGCCTATCATGCAGGTTAGTCCCAAGCTGGGGCTGAACCGGGTCCGCGCCACCGGTAAGACGGCGAAGACAAAGTTCCGCCGTTTGGCGTACTACCCCCCTCATGCTCCGGAGCCGGCTGCAGCGAGAGGGGACCGGGCTGCGACGCCGCCGCCTGCGTATTCGAACGAGGAGGAAGGATATAGTATCGTGCATTGTTTGCCGTTGACGGGACGCACGCATCAGATTCGTGTCCACCTTCAGTTCCTGGGGCATCCGATCACGAATGATCCGATTTATTCGAATCGGCGTGTGTTCGGGCCCGGTCTGGGAAAGAGCGAGGATAGCGGTGATCGGGATGATGAGATTATGGAGCGGTTGAACAACATGGGCAAGACTGAGCTTCCGGATACGGTTTCGTACCGGACTCATCTTACTGCTGCGCCGCTTGTGCCGCCGGGTACGGAGTCCTCCGTCATCGAGGGCATCATGTCCCGCGAGCACGAGGCTGCCCTGGTAGAGTACCACAAGCGCAAGGGCGAGAGGCTTTCCGGGGAGCAGTGTGACGTCTGTGGTACGGAGCTCTATACCGATCCTGGTGTGCATGAGCTGGGTATCTTCCTTCATGCCGTTGCCTACTCTTCGGATAATGGCGACTGGAAGTACCGCAGCAAGATGCCTTCTTGGGCTCTTCCTCCGCCAGGCATGGATGGTCCTCAGGCAGTCCCTGACTGGGAGCCGGTGCCGGAGGAGGAAGAGATCGTGGTCGGGAATGGAACTGTGCCGGAGGGCATGGAGGATGAAGACAAGCCGAAGAGGAGTCAGGGAAGTGTCTTGGTTCGGGGCGTGGGAGTGGTTGATAGCGAGAGGCTGCAGAGCAACAGCAGTCTGCTTGATCTTTCCTTGTCGTGTTAGACTTTTTGCTCTCCCATATTTGCATAGACTTGATGTTTACGACTACATGATACCTGTATGCATGGATATCAGGAGTTCTATGTTTTTGGCCGCTGGCATGTATGTAGAGCTGTGGGTACTTGGCCTAGCAGACCCAAAGAATATACCGTTCCATGATTCCCAAGGACTGAGGGCGTAGCGAGTGCTTAGGATGGTGCAAATACAGGTTGGCAATTACAACTCAGCCAGATCTTGGTCTCATCTACGGATGCCACCACAGCGCAGAACCCACTGACGGAGTTGCCATCTTAAATCGGATCCAAGCACGTCTTACGTTCAAACACTACCGACCGATCAAAAGTAACCAGACCGAGGAAGGGAATCGCAATGGAAAAGCCCCCATTTCTATTTGATATCCCAGTGCTGGTACCAGCCACCCAATCATGCACATAAGAGAAATTCGTTATCGCCACGAGATGATTCATTTCAATTCACGACCATACAAGAAACCGAAGCGACACCTTGCAGCTTTTGCCAGAGATCCCCATCTCCAATTGAAAATGCTTTGGTATAATGATTTTAATTGTTGATTTAATTAGGCTAAAGCATTTAAGCCTCAGTGGTGACACGGCCCTTGGGGTTGGTAACCTTGACACCGAGAGCCTTGGCCTTGGCAATGATCTCGACGCGCTTGCGGGAGGAGACGGCGTGGCCGATCCTACAGAATTATCATGTTAGTTGGATGCGCTTTTCTGCGTTGCATAGCTCGGTGGAAAGGGTGGGCGTACTCAGCAGCGTAGGTGCGGTTGTGCATGAGAAGGAGCTCAACGTCCTTGGGGTTCTGGACGAGGAAAGCCTTGTGGCCGGAGGGCATCATGTGCTTGGTCTTCTTGTTGGAGCCATAGCCGATCTATCGATTCAAGCCATATCAGTATTCATTGTTTCGCTGTGCAAATCGCAAAGTTCGATCACCGGTCGCGCTGTGACCTTTCACTTCCGGATCGAGATTGGAACGGAGAAAAACGTACGGAGGGCATGGGAATGTTCGACTTGAAGCGTCTACGGACGCGGGAGTCGATACCCTTAGGCTTGCGCCATGACTCAGGCACACACTTGAAGCGGTCCGACTGGTGGCGCTTGAAGGTCTTGGTGCCTGTATTTTGCAATCCTTGTCAGTCCCAATATTTCAATAGCCCGAGTGTGCATGTGTGACAGATTGTGTCCCAGAAGTCCCGATGTATATCTCCCAAGTGTTTTATCGTATTGCCAAGTCGTTGTCGGATTCCTTGATTCTTCCTTCGAACAGTGATATCATGCTCCGTTTTTCATCGAAAATTTCGTGCGAACCCTCCCTAATTCCTTCCTTCGCTAACACTCTTGCTATACATGGGACCTGGGCTGTGGTGGATGTGCTGGACGGGAAAACAGGAAGGCAGGATTTTGACATACGCTTCTTGACGATGGGGACGTGCTTCTTTGCGAGGACCATCTGAATTTCAATTAGTATCAATAACAACGACAATATGAATCCATCATCTCGGCATAGAACATACCTTGTCGGTTTCGTAAGGCCGCTGGCGCTCGAGTTGTCGTGACGGGTCGAATTCGATCTCAAAAATTCGCGCTGAGGTTGGCCGCCCAGTGCAGTCGGGTGCTAACGCCTCGCTAAGCTGAAAATTAGGGTGAAAGCCCTGCCAAGACTTGCCGCTTCGGGTCTGGTGTCGATCGTTGGCTAGCTTATGTCATCCGTCTTTGACCTTCCGCTCTTATCGTCTCCCGTATCAATTGTTATGCTTCGGTTTTGATCTCCAATTCTACTCCACACCATACTGTACATACGTTTTATTATCTTTTATTGCATCTGGTCTATCATTCCTACTCCTCTCAGATCTGAAGGTGCAGATGCCGGTTTTCCCCTGACTTCGCGCTACTAGTGAAGATGCCTTCCATCACCTCCAAATCCGCCAATGCTTCCTCCGGTCGCAAGCGGGTCGCAATCCCAGCTCCAGTGGTAATAGACTCCGCGAACTCAACAAGCTCCTTATTGACGCCGCGACCTTCAAACGGCACATCATAACCTTCGCCATTCACCGTCAACCGATCAAAATCCAACGTCACGACACCGTCCGCGCACGTAAACTCGAAAACGGAATCATTGATCTCCGAACCATAAGAGACAGACAGCACACCCGTAGCGCCCGATCGGGTCTTAACCAACGCATCAACAGTATCAACAGGGGCAAGATGCTCCTGCCGCAGCGACGAATGCGCAGCCACCATAGCCAGACCATCACTCTGTCCCAAAATCAAGCGCAGCGCAGCAACAACATGAACACCGCCGTCCAGAACAAACCCACCCTGGTACTCGGGTTTCCGACGCCATTCCGTTTCTACTCGCACGCATTAGCCCTTCCCCCATCGATATCCAGTAGAAGGAGTACACATACTATGATACTTCGACCCAGGCTTAATCATACTCCTCATGACGACCCGGAAATTCTTAACACCACCAAGTCTCCGCACCTCCTGCGCAGCCCGCACAAACTTGCTCATGTACCGCCAGTTCTCGGCCACAGCCCAAACGGTCTTGCTGCTGACGATGCGGGAATTGTGGAGGTTAATCAGGTCCTGCGCCGCAGATAGGTCCTTCGCGATTGGCTTCTCGGACAGAACATGCTTCCCCGCTATCAGGGCCTTGCGGATGAACTCTGGCTGTACTAGGATGGGGATACTAGATCGTGGAGTATCGTATTAGCCCCGTCCCTGTCAACTTGTGTAGCATACTGTAGAACCAAACGCACGCTATAATAACGGCCTTAATATCCGACCGACTAAGCAGATCATCGTAACTTTTCCCCGACCCTGCGTCCTCCGAGTACAGGTCGACTCCGGAGACTCCGGTCGCGAGGGTTTGCGCTGAAGTGAGAGACCGCGAATAGATGGCTTTTAAGTCGAATGCGTCCGAAGCTTGCACGCCGGGCTAGTCATATTGTCCCACTGGTTAAAAACAAGCTATGTTGGTTTTGTTCGGTACGAGAGAACCTACCAGGTGTTCTTCGCGGGCGAAGTTGCCTGTTTTCTCCGTTAGGGTTTTGTTTTATACAAATCTCGCATTGTGGTTAAACGTACCACTTCCTATGATGGCTACGCCGATGGGCATGGTGGGGGGAGTTCAATTAGTGTTTTCTTTTTAGTCGTGATGCTTTGTATATCCGGATCAGTATATACACGTTTTTTTTTTTTCTTTTTTTTTTTCAGAAAGATATGTGTTTTTCGGGACAATTATCAATCGATAGTTCGAGAATCTAGGAGGATGAATAGAAGGTCGAACCCTTAGATTTACATTTCTCATTGATATTAACCGGGTTGGGTGGGTCTCAGAAATTAGTTCCAGATTTGGCGGGGTTCACAAAAACGTACGGATTTGAGAAGGATATTTTTTTTCTATTTTATTTTTGTTATTTATTGAGGGAATACTTGCCTAGATTGGTGTTCTCGGGTGGTCTGGACATATGTGCAAATGTTATATACATGACTAGTACGGAGTAGAGACATTCTGATCGTTTGTATATCGACACAGAAACACGAATATATAACGTCGTCATGTACATCGATATACGGAGTGGACAATATGGACCTAGACATTAATAACGCCCCGCGACTGCCCAACAAAAAGCCCAAAATTAGATAAAGTGCCTAACGCCGTAGATGCTGATCATAACCTTCATGGGCAATGAACCCGAAAAGCATCGAGTCATGTCTCATGTCAAATTCCAAACCACGAGAGGCAGTCGCTGTAAACACCAGGGTATAAAGATAACCAAACCAAGCACAAGAAGAGTAAAAGAAAAAGAAAAGAACAGAAAACGGATATGGTAGATTTCTGTCCGGCGCAGATCACTGACCAACGAGTGCCCGGATGCGCTCGACCCTTTCCATCGCCTTCTCCAGGCGCTCAAGACGGGTCCTCTTCTCGACGTCCCGACGTTCTAACACCGCCACTCGCTCCTCGAGCCGCGCGCGGGCCTTGCGCTCTTGAGCCACCATCTCGTTGGCCTGGCTAAATAATTGCGCAGTTAGCTCCTCAAGCTCCGAACTGGCCTGCGACAATTGTGACTCCGCTGCTCGTCGCAGGCTCTGTTCGCGATCTAGCGCATTCTGCAGCTCGGCCGTGTGGTCTGGGCTGGGTTGCCGCGACGGGGGTTGGGAGACGGGTTGCGCGGGGGTTTGGGTCGGAGATGTGTTGCTGGGTCCGCGGGAATGGAGAAAGGATGTGAGAGTCGATAGACGTCCCTGCGAATTAGAGGGAGGTGATAGGGGCCGGTTCATTTCGTTGGAGGAGGTAGATGATACGGAGGAGCCATTTCGCGAGGTATATGTGGAGGCTTGGGTCCGGAGACGACGAACTTCGTGCTCGTACTCGGCGAGTTTCTCGGCTGTCAAGGGAGATCACAGTCAGTATAGAACATCTCGCGGTTGCAAGTGACAGTTGAGACATGTCACGGTGCGGTTCCTTACCTGTTTGTGCAGCCTGGACACTCAGGAAGGTGATCTGTCCCTCCAATTCCTTGATCCTCTTCTGGTCAGCGGCGTGCTCGTGTACTAGACTCGTCTCCTGGCCACAGGTTGGACAGTTCTTCCCGGGAATTAGACCCATCGCATTTATTGTGGGAAGCATGCCGACCAGCGTGGTCGATGTGAGAGCGGCAGTGGTCGTTGTGGTCGACATCCTGGTCTTTCATGAATTGCTGACGGGCTTGAGGATGAGCGCAAGTCGAGCAGGAAATTAGGTTAGGGAAATGAGAAGGATCCCCGGTCAGAACCGTGTCGCAAAAATTGAAGTACGAGTTTCAGAGATGGGGGCGATCCAGTTAAATAGAAACAGAAGGCTAGTGTTTAGTGACACACACGCATCGCTACCAAACAGGGAAGAAGAAAAGGAAGAGTGCCAGCCGTTAGTGCCAGAAAGGCTTCTGTCGACAGACAGATGGAATAAATGCAATGATGGCGGGTAAGCAGTGGAGTTACCCGACGTTAGGCGTCGATGTCTGGTGTATTGCGAATGTATTGTTTACTTGTATTCTAATCTATTCTTAGTATTTGGGTGTGGATTTATTGGATTGGAAGGGAAAATCCAACCACCGTCATATCGTACATGGGGCCCGGTTTCCTAGTTGAGGTTCTCAAAATCCAGGTCAATAATATCGGTATTTAGGATGATCGTCTCTCGGGCAATCACACCATCTCATCTTCTCCCCCGGATTTCCATCATGGGTTGTCGCTGAGCAGACACACGTGTGTGGATCCTTTTAGTCCCCGCATGTTTGTGACGGATCATGTTTATAAATCTAACGACTTCACTTCTTTCACTGCCTCCAGGGGATTAGAAGAGCTGACTTACAATTTGATTGTTCCAAAGGAACATGCCTCTCTGGTCTTTGTCTTCAAAGGAGGGAACTGCCTTGAAGCAATTCCTACTTACAAGGGGAATTTCTAACGTCCAGCCTTGCGGCCCTTTCCCCCTTGCAACCGTTATTCCCGCTATCTCTCTAACAACCCTCGCTATCTCCTAGGAAACACATACCAGCCATTAGTTCCAGTCATCTATATATCCACTTGCCCCTTACATGAAGATCTAGCATTCTTCATGTCCTGTGGTAAACTTTATTTTCTGCTTTATCGGCTGATGATATCATGCAAACGCATATACTTTCGTGCCGCCCGCCACCACGATCTGCAATGGTTGTAACCCGTTACAGCCTCAGACACAGAGTGACCAAAATACAGACTATCCAAAAAGTAGCCAGCACAAGGCTATGTCCGTTGCCCGAAACACCTCAGAACCTTCTTATCTGAGAAGCCAATAACCACCGCAGTAACGCCACTCATCGTGCCAAAGACGCTCACCATCGTCACCCATCCACCCCGATCACTGAGGAGCCCCGCGATCAATGGCCCCAATACCTGGCCACCCGACCAGGCGACATTGAACAGTCCATACGCTTGCCCCATGCCTCCTTGATTCCCAAAGATTCCCGGCGATTCCTTCTCCTGTCGCTCAACGACAAGACTGACTTCGGTCATGAGGGACACCATCTGAAGGGTCGATGCAATACCTGCGATGAATAGGAAAATATAGAGGAGGATTTGATCCTGTGTCGTATCATGTGTGATGAGCCGAAGGAGGAAAAACGTAGGGAAGTCCAGCAGGAATCCAAGGAACGCGATTGTTCGGGATCCGTAGCGGTCAACGGCATCGCCTGTTGAGATCGGTTAATGCAATCGACACTCAGCTTGCTGGTCACCAAACATACCAACTAGAGGAGAAAAGAAAGACGGTGCGAACAATGGCAGGAAACAAACCCCGACCCAAAAGGGACTCCAGTTGAATGTCTCCATCACATGCAGCGGAAGCACCTATAGCCACTGGTTAACAAAGCATTCTAGATGGTGCGACTAGGGCTCCGCATACGGTGTCGAAAGAAGACCACAGAATGGCATCGACTATGGTTGCTCCAAAGAAGAGCAACACGCTGCTAGAACACATTAAGCGCACGATAGGTGGTAGAGTGGATGTCCTTCCACTTGAAATTGGCTCGCCGCTGACCTCAGGCCAGCAAACAGAATGACAGGTATTAGCTGATATTTGGTCAGAACGATCCTGTCTGGTGGCTTGATACACGCCATTGCCAGTTTCATCCGCACTACTCAGCAAACTCTCTGTTTCGTTAGCGATCTGTGGCTGAGTCCATTTCAAAGCGGTTTTCTGCTCAATCATAAAAAGCCGAAGGAGGATATCCAGAACAACTAGTCCGACGGCAATCGTAAATACGGCATCGTAACTTATCCGCGATAGTCTATACGGGTCAGCGAGGTAAGGGCATCTATGCAACACAATGACTTACACGACCCCTCCGATAAAAGGACCAAAAACGGTTCCCACCGTCATAGCCATGGAGACATAACCCATCGCCGCTCCAACTTGGTCCTTTCCCACTGTATCCACAACAAGAGCCATGCCGACTGTCCAGACGACAGCGGCAGACAAGCCCTGCAGGACTCGCGCGATGACCAACGAAGAGAGTGACCGGGCAACCCAGAACATGATAGTCGAACCGCCCAACGCGAGTAGACCGAAGATGAACGGTACCTGGCGGGAGGTACCCTTGTCGGCGAAGTAGCCGAATATAGCTATATCCATGTGGTCAATCAGGTTTGCTGATGACTATAACGAGGACAAGGAACTTACGGGATCCAACAAAGATAGCACCCCCAAACGCGGCAAGCATGATTGCCATCCATTGCTGCACTGTATGATTTTGTCAACGACTCAACAACTTCTCTCAGCCACAAAAGGGAAGATAGAAAGAACCACATACGTTGATCATCAGGCACAACCACCCGTGTTTTTAAAACCACCGGCAGGATGGGAACAATCTAACAAGCCCATATCCATGAGCACCCGCAAGTAATACGCAATGGGGCTACAAGTTCACACACCATGCCATAAATAAAAACATCCTATCATCACCGTCAGTACACATTGCACAGCGAACCAGTGTATATGACTCCAAACCGTAAAAACAGCCATCGCAACTACCGAGATCACAAATCTCCTCGAGGATCGGAACTCCAGCTTCCACGGCGGGGAAGCCCTCGATGCATAATTCATTTGGAGATCATTTTGGTGCATAATTTTGTTCAGCTGAGCTGCGGGGTATCAAGAACACAGATAGACAAAAAAAAGAAAAGAGTATAGAGAAGTAGAAGAAGAAAGACAGTGTCCCCACGTCAAGGACAGATCTATAGATCTTTAATACGGCAGGTTTTTCCTGCCGAACAGAATAGTATGATTGTGGAGGGTGACTTGGCCAAAGTATATTTTTGTGCTTATCTTTCCAAATCTGGCTCAGTCGACAGCAGGGTGGGATGATAAAAATCCCCAGCCTCCCCCAGGTCCGCATTTTGTGTGGATCGGATTACTTATTCGGGGTATCAGAGGGAGAAGCCTATATATCCGTAGACTACTCATTGGGTGGGCCATGACCACCACCGCATCTCGCTCCGTCCAGTGCTACAGGGATTACAGCGCTAGGGCTATGGATGCGGCAATATGAACAAAAGAAAAACTGTACTGCTCATTCTATCACCCCAGTTTAACCGAAAGAAAGAGCTAATCAAGACACGACGAAAATACAATGAAATCTCAGCGGGATCCCCTGTGTAAGTACCATATATGACTACCAGTGTCAGGGATTGGAAGAGGGAGAGGGAGCAAACGGGAAGCATAGTCGTTTTTTTTTGTTTCTCTTTTATAAGCCTGGCTAGTAAGATAGACAGACTACCGTTCTTGGGCTCCGGAAAGCACCTCTGCAGGTCGCTGAGTCGTAATCTTATTCGCATGGCTGTCTCGTCAACTAGGCAGGGACATGGCTCCGTTAGAAGAACAAGAAGAACAGGACTCCGCACGCCATCCCCCGATCCCGAACAAGACAACGAAAGGGGGGAATCACTGGACACAACAAAGCCGAGAAACGCGGAAGAAAAGGAAACCATCGTTAAGAATAACATAGCATCTTTCCATCCAGATCGGCCGTAAAGGTCACGAGTGTATACTAAGTCCATCCACATACATGAGAATCACTAGCTCGGAAGGAAACTAAGGGCAACTAGTAAGAGGGGGTAAAAAGAAACGTAGAAAACTTTTCGACATTGCCGGACAACGGTAGCAAAAACTAGACGTGAATCGGGGATCTTGACTGACGGAAAAAGTCGTGAATCAATCAGAGAGAAATGGAGAGTAGAGAGAAGCGGGACGATTGGTATTGAAAACAAACAGTCATCAACATAGCCAAAAAATTCATCATTTGAAAGGAACGTTGTTCGCAGAGCAACCTCGGAAACGCGCTACTCGGAGATAGCCGTACGCGACAGTAAGAAACGAGGCACCGTACGAAGAGCCTCGTGAACAGGATTTCGCTCTGGAAGGAATGCGAAGTTTCGGTCGAGTAATGACTGCATTCGGGGTATCGTTAGATCTATGCGAACGTACGGCCGGCTCCACGGCGGTTGTTACGTTGCCTCGAGCTCACGGTGCTCCAGCCCTCCTCGTCAGCAGCATCAGCTGGCTGAGCAGGAGCCCGCCTCCAGCTACCGTTTTCCTTGCTAGGGGCGGCATCATTTGAGGCTTCGGCCTTCGCAGCAGGCTTGGCCTCCTCTGATTGATCTTGATCAGCGGCCATGCCACTCTCGTCCTCGCCGGCCCGCCGGAGGATCTCAAAGTTCTTCGCACCCTGAGGGGTATCGGCAGAATCTCTGCCGGTAGCATCGGCAGATGTGCCAGTCTTATCGCCCTTAGCCTGATCTTTGGCAGGTCGCTGCTTGTCGCCCTTCTCAGCCTTGGCCTTCTCATCGGCTTCCTTCTTTTGCCTCAATGCCAGTTGGCGCCGTTCCTCAACCTCCTTCTCTCTCGCAGCAGTATCAATCGGGCGGGCACCACCGAATGGGCTGGCCCCAGTTCCAGTTCCCGCAGCCGGGCTAGACACAGCATCGGTCACGGTTCGTTTTTGAAGGTTCAGTCTTGGCCTCGTAGGGGCAGCAGGGGATGCAGGAGCGGCAGCGGGGGAAGGAGGGTTGCTAGACTCCTTAGGTTGATCAGGACGCATCTTTGATCTCCAGGCGTTGTCCATTTCAGCTGCAGTAGGTGCCCGTTCTTGGAATTCACGTCGTGGAGGCCTTGAGCCATCCTGGGAACGTCCCTCACCCCAGGCAGGCGAGCTCTTTCTGAAACTGGATCCCTCGTTGGTGCGAGGACGGCCACCTTCTCTCACAGGGCCGGTCGGAGAGAGAGGACCCTTTCGCTCCCAGTTGCCGAAATCGCGGAACTTGCCGTCGGATTCGAAGTTGCGACGTCCACCAGTACGTTCGCTACCAGCATCGGAGAAGTTGTCCATGTTACGTCCAAAGGAGGAGCGGTCAGGCACACGGCGCGGAGCCTCGGGGGCAGGAAGAGGGCCCTTGCGAGTCCAGTCGAATTCCTTGACATCACGTTCCTTAGCTGTAGCACTGTCAGTGAGTGTATAATGAACCAAATATCGAAGCACTTACGAGGCTCTGCGATGCTGACCCGGATGGCCCTTCCCTGAAGGGTGGCGCCGGAGAGGTCGAGAGCCTTCTTCAAGCCGTCTACCGTCTCGAATTCGACGTATCCGAAGCCCTTAGGGGCTTTCGTTAACTTATCCTCCACGATACGAACGTTCGTCACAGCGCAGTCGACAAAGAGGTCAGAGATATCAGCCGAAGTCGCATCAAAGGACAAGTTTCCGACGTGGGCAGTATACGGGGGCTGAGTGGGGAGGGGCAGGGCTCCCTAACGGCGTAACCGCCACGTTCACGGTCTTGTTTCTCATTGTCAGATGCAGTAAAATACCATAAAGGGGGAGGAGAGTGTACCACCGAAGCCACTGCCGAATCCAGCAGACGAGAGGCCACCAGCACGGCGATCGCTGTCGAACCTGGGCTGAGGAGGGGCTATATTGTATTAGATTTGTCTATCCAGGTGGGTAGCAAACATTGTGAGCAAGCAGTGTCAATAACGTACCGGCTAGTAGACATTTGTATCAGTACGAGGTCATCCAGCCTGATCATTGGAATAGCATCCATCACTTACCAGGCAAAGGCATGTCATCCATCTCGTCGGCCCAAGAGCCAAAGTCTAATGGTTTAGCACTGATCGCCCCGCGAAGATTCACGGGGTTAACTTACTCTCATCAGCTAAGAAGGTGCTGATGGACATCTTCTGGGCTTTCTGTTTAGGCGCTGCAGAAATCATCGTTAGTATCCATTGTCCATTAAAGAAAGGACAGTGCTGTCACAAAGCGAGAGCGTAATTATGCCTGAGAGGGGTAGAAACATACCCATGATTGCGGTTGTTGGAAATCCAGAAACGCGCCAAGGGAAGCACTTGTGCGCGTCTCACACGGGAGAGTTGAGAAATAGATAAAAATGACTTCCGATAAGGAAGACTGTAGGAATGCGAAAGGTGGCGTCTAGTTTTGAACAAGACGATGTAAAATGGGGGGTTTGCAGGAGAGCTCCGCAGTGAAGAACAGAGGGGAAAGTGAGTTAATCCGCGAGGATAATTTTTAGTGATGACGCTAGAAAAGTCAGCCTCTAAAAGTGTTGGTGCGGCTTTTCGGTTTGCGCCTCGACCCAAACCCGCGAAGAGGGCTTTTTCTTGCAACCTCGCTTTGCGGAGAAGTGGTCAAACTACTAGACCTCCCCA